TTTGAAGAATTGTCAAAGGTGGATTTCATCAAATTCGAATTTCCATCTCACAAGCTTTTAGCTCTACAATCTATGGCATTAATTGAAATAGAGCATAAAACAAGATTCGTTCTGGTGCAAATTTTGGAATAGTTTTACTATACTCAAAAAGAACATTGTATTCAATATTTATTTTACCGATAATCATAGTTACATGTATCTAGATCACTAATGTTGCTTGCATGTGGCCATTAGAGTTAATATTATAAGTTGAATGACTATTACACTAAATATTTTTGTTGTATTTATATTTTTCAAAGAAACTTATAGACGACTTCAGGATTCAGTGAATGAATTCCTTCTTATATTGTTCCTGTCCTCAAATTTTCAAAGTAAATAAATTTGTCGTGGTGTTTTGAACGTTTCAAATAAATTATAGATCCTAACTTTAAAATTTTGAACACTCCTTTATGTTTTATTTTTCTTAGATGTTTCTTAACTTTTCCTTAAGATTCTTCAAGACAAATTACTTTCATTTTTGTTAAAGACCGTGCAGCATCATTCTAACTTTTATAGTGTACAATCTCCAAAATACTCGTTATCTCTGGTTGTGTTCTAAAGATCTTTGAGAGTATTTTTATTTCTAAATTAGGTTTTTGTTATGATTCTTTCGGATATTCTCATTGTTTTACCATGAATGTTGAGCTTATCGGAATTCTTTAATCGTTTTCTTATAAAATGATATCTTTTCTCTGTGTATATTAATGCATGTATTCTTTATGTATCCTCAAGAGTGTATTTGTTTCTAATCTTTTGCATCTTCCAAATTTCAATCGTCTTCTGACACAGCTCAGTCCTTTTGATTTCAATTTGCTAAGTTTCTTACTATGTAATCATTTCGATTTGGGTCCATTGAGTATTTCTTTTTTAGAATATTTTTATACGAGTTCATTTCCACTTCTGTGAATTTAGAATTACACCTTTAAAAATTGTCTTACGTGATTCTACGAAATAGCCCAGTATGTTTCAAGCCGCTCAAAATGTATTTTTTGTTTGCTATTAGTAAGTATTAGTTTGTTTTTGAAAACGTTCCAAATTAAATAAAATTATTGTTATATGCTGTATATCGCTATTAAGATTTTATGAATGGATTATTTCTTTATTGTGTGAAGTTAACGAGACCTTTAATTTACGAAAAAACAACATTAGTTCCTTTTGAATATTAAAAATCTTTGTATTGTGAATTATATTGTTTTCATGATTGATTTTTCCTTTTCTTTCACATGCTGGCATTCATTTTTAAACTTTCTCTTTGAAAGTGAATCAATTAAACAAAAACAAACTTAGATATTAAATATCTATAAATGTTGGATAGTAAAATGTTGGCTTAGCTACTTCTAGAAATTTGTTAATTCATTTTTTAAAACTGAAAAATCTCCGTGTCAATCCTTTTTCTTTGATGAATCATACTTTTTATCAATTATTTTATTTTGTACTAGAATGCAACTTTCATCCTTGAATTTACTTTAATATGAGATAACTGTTCGGAGATGATACCTTTGAATTCATCGTTAACTAGTGAATATATCAGAATGTTCATAGCTTGTCATCCGGGACTATTTTCTTCTTCTGTTTTTTGTTTCAGTTCCTATTGGAGTAATGTACATGATCGTTGCCCTTGAATAATCCTCGTGTTGTTTTGCATACACGTCAATGTATGATTTTATTATTGAGTATCTGTCATTTAATCTTTGAATACAAAATTAATGAGATAACTAATGATTCGAGCTCAAAATAATGCAACCGTGCATCGATAAATACCATTCATCTATTCATTTGAAAAGTACTCATAATTCATTTTGATTTTTGTTTACAGGTCGCGAACGACAATATTAGTGATATTGAATCATTCAGTAACATAATGTAATCCCTACTTAAAAGTTTGTTTTGTCTTTATTTAAATCAAGTTAAAGAAAAAGATAAAAATGAATGAGGAATTCTTCATTCGAGCAGTACTACAGTTATGAAAGCATGATGTTTTTCCTGTTTTATACTCTGAAACAAGTTAACGATACAGGATCTATAAATAATGTTCGTCTAGCAGCGATTTATGTTGATGAAAACTAAATACAAAAATAAGAGACAACAATGCCAATTGTATTGAAAGAAAATAAACATGAGGATGTGATTCGACATGCCATAACCTAGAGTTCAGCTTACTTAAGGATCTCCATCAAACGGTTTTGACTCTGCTATAATTGTTTGAATGAATTTTATTACGAATCGTACAAAACATAAATTAAGTATTTATTACGTGCAATATGAAACGTCATCTTAAATATTGTATTTTTTTATTATTCTTCTTTTTGTATAACAATTATTATTAAAAGTTGATTCTAACTTAAGTTTTTTTAACAAAATTCCTGTTCATAAATAAAAAAAAGGTTTTAATTTCAAGTTAAATAAATTTTTTAATTATATTTAAACGAAAACAAATAAAATCAAAATTAGAAGATAAAGTTAATATAAAAGTAAGTGGAATTTCATCGATAGATTTCAACTTTCACCAAAAAATATGTATCGACTACAGAGATGTAGCATGGCTAGTTTTGTTTATACTGCAGCAATTCTCATGTAAATTCTCCAGCTGTTATCTCGGTAATGGATACATTTTTTTCGATGAAACTTGAAATTTGTCGATGAAGTTCAACCTACAGCTTTACTACACTTTAAAAGATGATATATCACTTGCATCAGCCAATAAATACTACAGAATGCTAACAAGCAAATACCATTTTTTTTAACAAAATCCGATCACAAAAATTTTCGGGCGGAAATTTTTCTTTAGACTCCAATAGCATGTACAGTAAGTTTTACGTTAAGCCGATGCATCGAAACTGAGATCTAGGGTCCACAAATATGCTAAATCTACCTGATTTACCTATACAGGGTGCTAAACTATCGATTGAGCTGAACCGCTGGATATTAATGCAGAATCGGCCAAGGAACATTTTTGGTAGCGGAAGGAAAAAGAAATTTTGATGTTGAAATATAAAAAAATCACATTTACTAAACAACGTTTTCCTTCTATGCATTTTACATGGGCTGCTATTATTAGAAACATTTTTTCGCTTGTATGTTGTTACTAGCAACAGCGCTCTTAATAACAACAAATTCAATTTCTTACTTTGCACCGGTAATTACTCAGCCAATTTTGAAGATAGAAAAGTGATTCTTTTACTATTCGACGCAGAAAACATTTTCCTACTCAAAAATGTAAAAAACTGTAGTGTTTTAAGAAGATGATGCAGTTATTAATGAAATTTCAGAAACCCCTAAAATATCTGTGGTTATTAGGGACTTTGACTGTACCAGTTTTAACGGATAAATATCACAACGCGTTAAAACATATTAATAGTTTCGGTACAGCGTACCTTTCTTCTAGGTAATGCAGGTATGCTGCTGTTTCTGTTCTCATTTGCAAGCACGTATTGCAAGATAAACGTCGATCAACATTATTGTGTTCTCTCAACTCATTCATTCACCCATTTTCTAAGGATAAAGCATGTCGTCGACTGTAGCAAATGATTTAGAAAATAAGATTATTCCATGGCTCAATGCTCATGGAAACAAAATTGAGCTTAATATTTCTGAAGGTTCGTTTCAGCAGCTTACGCCAACAATTTATACACATACCAGTCCTGGAACATATATAAGTATTGGCTTCAAACAACCACTTCAGCAAGACGCTGTTGACCTTGAAGAACTGCAACAAAATTTTAGCTACATCGCACTCAATAAACTTCCATTACCTGGTCTGGATGTACCATCGAATTGGGAAGTCTATCCACAGACACCCATGTCTTCTTTTCGCGAGGGTGTTCAAATTGATGAATATGAAAATCATCGATTACACCTAACTATCTCTACACGTTTCTTTGCCATCTATGGTCATGAAATACAAGAACATCCAATCATGGATAAATCAGCAGAGGAAGGCACATACTTGCAAGTACGACATGATATTGAAGGTTTCATCAAAGTCAATTTACCATTAATGATCGAATAAACTTTCCAACTTTCAGTGTCTGCTACTGTATCTACGTATTTTAGGTAGTTATATGACTTTAGATTTTTAGATTTTTCATTAACCCATTGCATTAATTTTGTAATTTTTTTAGTGATAATATAAAAGAATTTGCTATTATAACTTTCTTTTTTTTTTATATTCATATTCATATTCACAGTAGAAAACTTTTCACAAGAACTGAATTGCTTTTTAGAGTTTCGACTGGAGAGCATCGTAGTAAAAGTGAAAAGAAAGAGAACAGGGATATTTTTAAAATTATCATAATTATACATCAATGATTAGCTATACGTATACCAGTTTAACGTGCTTGTTAAAGCAGAACAGCGAACAATTAGACAAATGAAATAAACATTAACTTGTACTGCTAAATTAATCAATGAATTGATCAATGCTTTATCTGTTCAACAAAAATATTGTTTAATATGATTCAATTAACTGTTGAAAAATAACATCAATTAATGAAATGGATACATTGAAAGACACTGTTTAATTAATGGACATGGGTGAACACTTTTGACGAATCATAAAATAAAAAACGTCGGATCTTATTTCGCTTTTTTTCTTATATATAAGATCAAGAGAACTTTTTTATTTTGAATTCGAGATCGATTTAATACATAAATTTGCTTCTTCCATCTTGTCTTTTAATAAGAATATGTCTATTATAGAGAAAGGGTGTGGAATCGCATGTCACACATTTATTTAGTGCATTTTATGCAACGGAATCTCAGAATATATAGTTAACATATAATGTGTTTCCAAAATATTTGCATGCATTCTTATTTGAATCTTATTAAAGGAATCGTCTGTTTAATCACGATTGCCAAATGTTTATTTCAATATTCTTTTTCGATAATATGATATTATGTAAGAACAGTTTACTTCATACAGATGGTTTTCTCTGTGACATTTTGAAAAATTATGATAGATTTATAATGGTTCAAGTGAACTCTACTGTATATTATACGCATTATTAAGTAAAAATCTGAACAGGGTGTGAGTGTGCATTCCTCTGTTCCCCACACCCACACCCATATATTCCTTCAAAAAAGTTCGATTGTCTAGTCCTTTTGAGAAAAGAGACAATTCTTCAAAACGGGAGTATATTTCGAAGAACACATTTGTTATTGCTAAAAGTTTCATGGTGTCTTAGTGTTCAGTCGACCTATGTATTAATAAAATTTCTGAGCAAAAATCGATTATTTCACTTTTTGGTAACTCAAAAAAAAAAGAAAATCTGAAAAAAGAGCATAACTTTTCAAGAAAGTGGTATGTATTCAAAGTCTTTTGCTGTTTTTACTATAACATTGTGCAGTACCATGGACGAAAGTTCATTGGAATCCATGGAGTTCACCTTGGGAAGCTCACTAGTCAGTAGTTTCACAAAATGTACTTTTTCGATTTAATATGCATACATAGATATATTAGTTATTGTAAAGAGCAAAATAGACAAAGTGTATAGAAAATTGATTCCAAGCATAAAGGAAAATAGATAGTAAAGAATTCGACTGGCCGCTCAGCTCGGTGACTATTTAAATAATACTACTAAATGTCTTTTTTTTCTAATTAACTGAATACTATTGAAATCAAATTGAAAATGTATAAAATTCATGTAACTAGTCTGCTTTATATGATTTTTCTTATCCTTGAAAGTTACTTGAATATTATAGAAAAATAGTCATTCAGTATGTACAAATGGGGATGAGTTCGAATAATTCGGAATCACGGATATCGCAGGCTGTCAAGGTTAGATGAGAGCAAGACTTTCAATGACTTAAGTGATTGATCAGAGGATTCTTACAAAATTAGTCAGAGTTAAGGAGAGTTCCCAATTTTTTTGAAAATTGATCATCAAAAAGATACAATCACTTTGCTCAAGAAAAACAAAATGTTTTTCGGGACCTAGGGATCAAATCCCTGCTGTACGTTTAGAGTAAAACTACTCCACATCTCGAATGAATTTTTTCCATTTCATCCATATTTTTTATGTACTTCAATTCGGAAAATACGTAATTTTCAATCAATGCAAATCTATTGATTTTCAATGACTAATACCACTACTTGTGAATATGCGTTAACTAAGTTTAACATTATGTAAATTGACTTCAATGAAAGGCTATAATCTTTAGAAAATGACAAGGTTCTAAAGACAGATACAGTAATTGATGAAAAATAACACTACATGAGAGTAGGGGTGGACCATTTACATTAATTTAACATTAAGTTCAATATCATCAATTAGCAATAAATTACAAATATGAAGTGTTAAAAAGAAAAAAACATCTGAAGTTTTGTGTTAGCTGACACTACTTCAAAGTCTCATTTAGAAAAATGGTCCGTCCCTAGTTGAGAAAATTTTAGAATAGCTAGGAATATATTGGAATGGATAGGAATGGCTGAGTATGCCCGAATGAGTTTTCCCACTTGATTATTTGTGTCCACCGAGGAAATAGTACTTACAGGAGTAGCTGATTTGATCATAGTAACAAGAGCTATAGTTATTATGGGTTTACAATGTGAACTAAAAAATGGAGAACTAATAACAAAAGAACATTCATTCAATGAGTTAATCTATTTAACTATATCGTTTGATAAGATTCTCTTTTTTTCTTGTTACTATTTAATAATTAAACAGTGTTTTTCTCCAATTAGTTTCCTACGTATTCTGCCTTTTTTTTCTGTACAGAATTAATCTAAACGATAGTCTACATGTTAATCACCGCAAACGAATTGAAAGGTGATTTATCTTTGATCAAACAGTATATAGTCTACTTTGCTTCTTTTACAACTTACTAATTTAGATGTAATCGTAACATCAATGCTTATATGCATTGAAGTTCAGTATTCAACTTGTTTTGCCTTTCTTCCTCATCTCTCCTTTCTCTATTAGTCGTTCTGGTCACGCTTTAATTACATTTAATAGAAGAAAACAAAACAAAAGCCTGACACTAATCAGAATAAAACAAATTTAGCTAATTTTTGACAATTTTTATTTACAATAATGTAATCACACAAAAGAATAGGTTATCCTTGAATAAAACAGAATGCATAAAAGTCGAATGTTTATATATCAATATTAGCGACACGATGAACAAGCTCATCAAAGTCGTAACGAATCTTGACCGTTGTTGGCGTTGATATTTCTGTTTTCATGCCAGTTAATTCTTCACATCTAATGAGATCAGGTGTTAAAACCATGACACAATGAGCAAACCAATTATATGGTTTCATAAGTAAACAACCTTCACGTTGTAACTGCAATTATAAATTATAACTCATTAAGAACACCAAGAAAAAGAATATGATAGGAACTTACAAGTGCAGCTAAAGCTCGATCGGATGTTATTATAATTGTGCGTTTGTTTTTTTCTCGATTCTCCGGTTTTCTTGCTATTTCAACAAGCATATCATCAGTTGTTCGGTGAGTTGGTTGAGCGCTCGATACTTTCACTGAACCGATTTGATCCAGTTGATGTGTTGCATCAAAAATAATTTCAACATTTGGTATATGCATTTGTTCATTCCATGCTGAAGCTATTTCAGCTAAAGCACGTTCAGTTTTTTTACCAGCTCGATTTAGACATAAACGTCGAAGTGATTTAACAACGAACATCATATTATTTCCATCTAGATATACCTGTTCAATATCACGTGGCCAATCTTCCCGATTATTGATTGTTACGTAGCCAGTTTGAGCTTCAGCAAATAATGCACGCTTCTAAACAAAACAACAGAGTTTCACTATTATCTTTCTGTTGAGCTAAAAATTTGGTCTTACTGATGATCGTTCTTCTCGTTGTTGATTACGCATTTCTCGTTCATGATCTTTTCGAGCTTTTGTTAATTCAATGGATTCATTACATTCATGATACATCGCTAAGATCTTCATAGGATGTCCATGTACACCAGCTGAACGAAGTTGTTTGAGATTTTCAATGTCATCCGAACTTAATTCACGTCGATTTCTCCAGCATGATGCTACTCCATGAGTTTCTTGTGTTGTTGTATCACTTGGTGATATATTTCGATGTCTATGTCGATATTCTCTATTTTTTCCCTTTCCATCTTTCCATTTAATTATGAGTTGTTTAACAACATCAACTTGGCCATCAGCTTTTTCTAATAAATGCGCTAAACAGCGTTTATTTTTAATTTCGATACCATCAGCTGCGAGTTGTGCAATTTGACTAGCATATTTTGTGTCGAGCTCAGCTAGTTTCTCTCTACGATGCGACATTTTTTCAATCACCTATTATTTTAGAACACAGTCAAGCAATCAAATATGGTATTCTCTAGAAAGAACGAACACGAAATATTATACCTTATTAACATCGCCTTGATTTTTTTCCAATTGCCAAAGTGTACATCGACAATCGACATTAATACCGGCTTGAGTTAATTCAGCCAGTTGCGTAGCATATTTGTTCTTTAATTCTTCTCGTCGTTCATGAAGAGATGTACGCCAATCTGCATTTACTTCATGATCTCGTTCTTCAACTTTTTGCAAAAATTTTCGAACTGCTTCCACGTCACCACTGAAACGTTCCATCAATCTCAGTAAACGAATTCGTTTCAATGATTGAGCCGATGGGATCTCTTGTTGTAACGATGTTACTGTTGTGCCAAAACGTTCTTCAAGTGAATCCCATTTATTAGAATGAAAGTCTCGTTGAACGAGACGTGCGCGAACCTGATTCAAATAGAAGTAAAATATTATTTAGCCTAAAGAATATGTTAAGTATTTATTTTTACGCTGATATAGTGAAATATCGAGCAACCTCCATTCTCCCGCATGAGAGGCATTAGCGGGCTATATTATATATATATATTGAAATGGTAATAAAATGATTGTACCTGATCAATATCACCAGCATGCTTTTGTAAAAGGCGAATTAAGTGGTTGGTTGATGCATGCGGAAAGCGTTCTTGTAGAACACGTACTTGTTCATCATAAGTTTGTTGGTTAGAAGCCATCGTTGTATTTTGTTTGCGAATAATACTGAATGAATACAGTGACTGAAAAATCTCACTTTTTATACCTGGCAAATGAGTAATCCTTAGAAGTTTCGCAATTATTGCGAAATAGTATTACTAATTTTTCTGTTGAGCCAATCAAATTTTGCCAACGCGCCAAAATATTTATCAGTATGACTTTATATAATCTCACTAAAAGACGATGAAGCGAAGGCGAATAAAATGTTTTTATTCCTTCAATTTTCTCGCTGCCCACCTAAATGAAAGCGTATTATTCATAGATAAAAATATGTTGTTGCTATTGAGCATGATTCACGGATTCTCCAAAGCACAGAATGCTAAAAAAACTTTAGATGATAAAACAACGCAATCTATCATACGTTTGAGACAATATCATTAAATCTGTTACTACTAAACTGAAGTTGTATCTGAGACTCATTGATGATTCGAGAAATTGTTTTCGTTCAGTCATATAATTTTATTTGTCTATTATTTGAAGACATTACATAAAAATAAAAATAAAGAATGCAATTTTATCAAATTAAGGCAAATCAAAGTTTATTTTAAAAATCAGATGTTTGAAAAATTCCAGACAAGTGGTGGCACCACGACGAGGACTGATAAGTGCACTGTATCAGCCTAAATCTCTCTGAAAAAATTGATTTGTTACTACTAATGATACAAGATGTAAGAGAAGACTAAATTTCTCTGTACCATAGCAAAAATTGTTTTGCTAGCACCAAGAACTATTAGAGATATTGCTCTTTTTTTTATGGATGTCATATTAATCAAATATTAATACTGCTAAATATGTTTTAAATAAAGTTGATTTTCAAATAATTGAATGTTCTTTTTTTATGCTGCTGTCATAGGTAGCTAAAAATTGTAGAAAAAAAAACTGTATACGATTATTTTATTGTTATCCTACGTAAGATGCATATATGTATATTATATGTGTAGAGTATTAATACCAACTATTAGGATGAATGATTTAACAATGACTGTTTTCAATAACGCTATCTTGCAAATTGTCACACGAAAATCAATATAAAAACTTTTAAAGTCAACTTTACATAAAGTTCAGGTGTTGGAAGCGAGTATAAAATTGAACTTGAATTCAAGAGTCTAATAAAGGTTTTTGTGGACATTTAAAAAACAAACTAAATGGGAGAAAAGTAGTTGGTGGACGTTAAAATCTGATGAAATCATAGAAACAAGTCTGAACGAAGTCAATATACGCGTTAAAGAAATAAATATTTGAAAATTAGCACTACTCTTTATTTAGACATTTTTCATTATACAATATATTTTTCTACGCCTTTCCTCGATCATATAATTGAGTTTATCTCAAAGTTTTGATTGTTTATTTCGAATGTCAACGATATTCGGCAGATTTTAGGTGTAAGTCTGGGTGGATATGAATAACTAAAATGGTGGTGCTGGTATATCGATAATGATTAATCACTAATGAGTGATGAGTTCAGAGAGCATATTTTGAGAAAACCACTTTGGATCTAGTTGTCACAAGATCAATATGATAAATGTGTCATATGGGTATGGAAAAATCTCTGTCTTTACTTTAGAAACTAACAATTATTGTATCTTTGGCTTAACGATATTATACATTGAATATGAAAAATAAATCTATAGCATATTTTTATCTAAAGAAAGAATTTAAAAGAAAATATACAAACTAATAAATCAAAAGCATTCCCATATTATATTTAGTACGAAATGAGTGATGTTCGAAATACAAAATCATCCCAGAGGCTGAAATCAGGTTATATTAATCATAGGAGGTAATTTCATGGATCTTCCTAATTAGCACACTTCTCTTACATTTTTATAAAGATAAATTCATTGTTTTGTTACGAGACATCCAAAGAAATTATTATGATAGAAAAATAATTGAATGAATGAAAAGCTGAAGAAAATAAAAATTTTGTTTATGAATCTATCAAAATGATATATTTATTTATTTCGATCAACAACACGATTTTCAACAGTCATAGAAGAGAAAAGATTCTACTATTCATTACAAATTGCTGTCAATCGAAGGGTACGTCGATGTATAGAGACGTTGATCATCATCATTTAATAACGATAATCATTCCTGTTAAGATATCTATAAACCACTACTATTATGTTTTGAGAAAGAAGATTTGAAATTACAAGTATATACTTCATATTTGTTTGAATTATATTAATAAGTCAGCAAGTTGACTACACCAACACTGGCTAATCAGATACCTTGATCAAGCAAATGATATAATTCAAGGCACAGTTAAAATTGATGATGCTATCTTTTCAACAGAACAAAATCTAATGTATATGATATCAATTAACTTTCTATTATAATTACATGTATATCTGCTTGTGAATCAAAACTTATTATTTGGATAAATAATGATAAAACGACTTTTGATTCTCTTGTATGTATCCGATTTACTTTAATAGTATCATTCATATGGATAAATATATTTCTTTTTTTTGCTTCTAGCTGTATACAAGTAGAAAACAATATATCATAACTAATCATCTGCTAAGTGATGAGAGCAAAAAAAAAGAAGAGTATCCATAACTGTCGGCGAGATAGATACGTCATCAACTTTATGCATAAAGTGATATAAAAGATAGGCACATCTCATTTCTTTAAAAAAACCTATTCGATTAGCAACAGAAAAACAACCTGATGTGGTCCGGACAGTTATTTCTTGTTTGGTGTTTTACTTTGACTATTTTAGCAACACAAAGTCATGTTATTCATGTTGGTTTGAAAAATAGAATTATGGCTTCATAATCATATTATACTCATTTATTTAGAAACGAGGTTTACTTTCAAAACTATTCAGTAAAAAAGGTTCGTCGACTGGTAATGTTGAATCTGATCTACCACCAGGTGAACGAACAAAACTTCGTGAATTACTTAAAAATCCAGTAGTTGTTTCAATGCTTAGTAAATTATTTGCTATTGTTTCTTTAAGAATTTATTTCTATTTCATTTTCTTGTAAAATAAAAATAGCTGCCGCTGTAGGAATGGTTATTCAACAAGCATTGGCTGCTAAAAATATGAATGATGTATGCGACAATAAATATATTAAAATGGCTTCGTCAGTTGGTAATTTCAATCCTCAACTGCAACAAGCAATCAATTTACTTGGTTGCAATGGACCTAATCGAAAATTTGGTAATAATAAATCTAAAGATAAATATAGTGTAACAACAACACCGGCTTTTAATCAAGATGAAGATAATGAAAATGAAAATGAAGAGCCATCAAATGATCAAGATGAAGAAAAGGAAGCCGAAGATACGTTAGAAAGTGGTATTCCACCTGAACAACATTCAAAATTACAACAATTAATGAGTATTGCACGAGGTGAAAAGGGTGCGAAACGCAATTTTCTTAAAGGCCTTTTTGGTTTAAGTAGCAAAGATAAAACATTCAAGAAAGGTCATAAATTACCATCATCATCGTACAAATTGGATAAAGACGATGCTGATACAATGAAAGATCTTGAGAAAGATATTGAAAGATTCAACAAGGCAATATAATATTAAAAAGAAAAACTTTATTTAAACAAACTTGTACCACATTTTGCTTAATTCAAACAATAATAAATTAATCTCATGTAAAAATAAACACTTGTGCTAGATGAAGAATACGAACACAAAGTTGAGATGCAGCGAAAAAACATATTTATATGTTCGATAAAACTATGAAAGCAACTGATACAAAAATAGGCGATAGTTAAATTCTGCTTCATGAGCCGGATCGAAATATAAAATAATATTCGTACGATTAAACAATTATACGTTCCTTAGGAATATTTTAGATGACTTCGTTAGAATTAAATCAAACTAAATCTCTACTTGTGAACATTTTTATATGGTTTATACACGTTTTAATGAATATGCCTACGTTATCTTACAAATATTGATAACCTATCGATTATTTAAAAGTCTCATTTGTTTGAAATTTTCAGGTTAACATAAATACGATTTGGATCTATAAAAACAAAAAAATTCTTTTGAATGCACTCGTCTCTCTATGGCGAACAAAAATATAATGAATAAAGCCGTGTAATTTCTGTTAAGTTACCTATAGTCTGAAAAATTCTTTATGGATATTTTGTAAATTTTCAGCTTAATTGTTTGAATATGATTCAAACTATTTATCTTATTCTTCTTGCATTATAAAAAGAATTCACGCGGCTAGCAATCAATTCTATATCAGAAGGCAATATTCCAGATAATAATGAAGCAAAATATAAAACTTGAATTATCTATAAGTAATAGAATTTCATACAACATAAAGAGAATTGTGTTGTAAGTTATATGTAACAAAAAGTTCATTGTCACACATATTATAATCCTAAAAGAAGGGATGAAGTCCACAGCTCGTAATCAGTTGGTCTGCTTCTCTTTGTTGTTTAGAATCATCAATTAATCATAAATGTCAAGTACATATTTCAACATAAATAAGAGTTCTTTTCTTGTTTTATGATAAAGCATGTGTTGATAGGTAATATTGAGATAATAGTAAAAAAAAAAGTACCAGCTTCTAAATTGTCGTTTACGAAGAAATCATATACGATTGGCGTACATTTTAGTAATTTATCTAACTAGGATTATGACCATTTTGCATTTTTATAATAAATTAAAAAGTCCAAAAAGTTCTTGTAAGTTATTTTAATAGATACTCATATTAAATGAACAACAGCAAAATTATAGATTGAATTCTTTGTGCTTTTTAAGTGTACGTAAAAATTTCTGTCATCCATTTTTCTTTCACTCTCGTCCGTCTGATCAACGATTTGTTATTCTACTATCCATATCTTTATTCAATTCAAATCTTGGACGATGAGAGAAAATATTCTTTCTATTGTTTTTGTTCGTTCGGTGGTGTGACATTCATATACAAACAAACGTACATAGGCTCGTTATCACTAACTGGCCAGAACAAGTAGCAGCGGTAATATCGAACAATAAAACGCATGTATACAAATTTTCTTCTGTAAAACAAAACCAAGTAAATGTCATTGACGTCATCTAATCATCAAGCTCAACGAGAAGCGTATAGACATAAACTTATGTTCGAATTAATGTTTTATGACAATGAAGAAATCGATTTAAAACGATATATACGAGCCTTTGTAGGTTTTATTAAAACAAATATATTCGAATTTTTTGTTTTAAATAAACTTTCTATTTTAATTTAGGACATGAGATTATCACGTAATACAGCATTTTCGAAAATTCCCTGTGGTCCAGTTGTTGTTATTGATAAATCAAAAATTGCATCATGGTCAACGAGCAATTCAAAATATAAAACTGAATTATGTAAATATTATATTGAAACAGGTACATGCAAGTTCGATGGCGATTGTACATTTGCTCATGGATCAGATGATTTACGAAATGCCAATCATAAATCAGTTTTGTGTCGACTTTTTCATATGACAAATAATTGTCCTTATGGTAAAATTTGTTTTTGTCATCACAAGTAAAACTTTTATGTCGCTTTTTCGTTAGGTGAAAATTGCGCATTTATTCATGATGAATATAAACGTTCATCGATTATAGTTCAACCAGGTTTTCTATATGCACCGCGATCTGTACAACCCAGTGGCGAACAAACGACAGTCGACGAACAAGAATATCAACAGCGTTCAAGACGTTCAAGTTCGGGTTATGCATCCATCGATGAACAATTATCGATTTAAATAGAGGCAATAGCAAAAACAGTCGTATACAAATAAATCGTAATAGCTCTAAATTATACTATTGGGTTCATAATGAGTACACATTTATCTTTCTATGAAAGTTTATTGTTAGATTCTATCAGATATCTTGTTTATCAGTTTTTCTTTTTACATAATATTGTTATGCCTTGAAAATACTTTGATAAATCACATGTGAATTTTTTTCTAATGTTCAATTCGAAAAGGTAAAAGAATTGTTTTTTGCTTTGTTTTTTGTTCGTTGAATTAATATTAATCTTATTTATTTTCTGTTTTTTTTTGGCACTATTTGATTCGATTTTGTGAGGCGTTAAGGGACCATGTGATAATTATTAAATATATCAATCAGAATTTGTTTTCATAAAAAGATCTTTTCTTTTTTTGATCGTTGGATAGTATACTGAATTTTCGTCGACGAGTTTTACTAGTGATATTTCATTAGAAAAGAAAGAAAGCGTTCGCACGGATGTAATGAACATGAAGTTTAAATTACATTTTTGCTTTAAAATTCTTCATATTCTATTTTCCCTCGACATTCGTTAGCGACTATGTACATGGCGTTTATTAATTCTTTGACTAAACATCGACATGTAGCGCAATCTATCAAGGCATGTAGACAGGGATTCGTCCATTTATGCATCACAACTGACTACCAGATTAATTCTATCTATCTACACACTAGTAGTTTCATTTTCACGTGTTTTTCAAACAAATTAATCTTTAGATTATTGTATATGCATGCTGTTTCCTATCTTGTCTTCATTTCTAATCATAAATCTATTTGATTTATCGATTGCGAAAAAACAAAAACAGATCAATATTAAATGTGCTGATTTACGTGTGGGACAATATCGTTGTCAACATCCAAAAATCGATGAAAAAACACAAGAACCTGTCGGTTGTGAACGACACCCTTTTCTATTGAACGGTGAAGAAGAATATATTGATACAGCTCCTATTAGTTGTTATACAGCTCCGAAAATAATATGTCAAGGAGGCATTTATAATGAAACTCTCGATGGATATATTTTCGAAAGACGTAAATCATGTCGATGGACAAATGGAAAATATTATCGTACAACATTAATTTTATCATTGTTTTTAGGTATTAAACTGACAAATTTCATTTGAATAATTTTTCATTTTATTTTATTTTTCTTAGGCATTTTTGGTATTGATCGAATTTATTTGGGATATTATGTTAGCGGTTTGTTGAAATTATTTACGTGTGGTTTTATGTTCGTTGGTACTCTGGTCGATTTTTTGTAAGTACACTTGAATTAGATGAAAAATAAAAATTATTTTGTATATTTAAGATTAATTGCACTTCAAGTTCTCACACCGGCCGATGGTTCACACTATATTGTTGATTATTATGGGCCTCGCATTTTATGGACAGAATTTAATGAAAATCGGACTTACTTGAAACCACAAAATTATTAATTCGAATCTTTTTCTTATTTGTACATGTGCTATTTCTTGTTAAATTTATTTTTTATCATTCTCATATGCAATACCAAAAATTAAAGTCAGGTGTTACATTATTTGTTTTTCTTTGTATACGAAATAAGTATTTCTATTCTAAATTTCAGAGTTTATGATTTACAAATTTCATTTGCAAGATATTAAAATACATTGATGAATGAAAAAATTCGATAAGCGATTGTATAAAATATTTGGATAACGTAAAAGAAAATGAATTCAAAGTTTAAAATAGTCACAGAAAAGACGTTTCATGAATTTATATTCCAATGATCGAATATAGAATTAAATTAAACTTTCGTAATTATAATTCTGATTTTGAAGTCTTAGAGTAGTACCGCTTTATTAGAGTTATGCAAGATTTTATTAGTCAAAAGTATGAGTTATTCAGAGTAACATCTTGCGATTGGAATGTTAGAATTATTTTTATGCATTGATGCTGTCAGCGATAAAGAGAATCCACTACTGTGAGATGTTCGAAAAGTGAATTATTGTTTTTATAGATCTAAAGGCAAGTTACTCCCAGTCTTGTACTGGAAATCGATATTCAATTTAGATAGAAGATACTACTTAGAAACTACAGACGATTAAGTGCGCTAACAATTATAGATAGATTATCTTCAGTTGCTGGAAATGATAATCACTATAAATAAGTGCAAGGTCACCATAGTTCAACCTTAATTCGATATCGTTTTTATTTTTGACTTTTGTGTTTGTCGAGTAAGTGTTTTTTTAATGAGGTTTTCTTCAAAGAAAAAGTCTAAATATTTAATTTCCATATGTTAGTAATAATAAATCTTGCTATTCCTACATAATATTATAAGAGTTCACTTTTATTTTGCAGATAATTAGGGAGGAAGAAAGCTTTTGAAAGCAGCAGCTAAAAACATAGTGTCACGTCTCAATAGTCCTTTAGATACTACAGAAATGTGAATATCGATTTTTTACCTCATTAATTTCGTATCTAAAATAATCAAAAACCTTTTTTTTTCTATTAAGAAAAAGACTGTGTTTCTTTTAGAACTATATAAAAAAAATCTTTTTTTTTCAAATCATGAATTTTTAAATGCGCTATGAATCGACCTCCTTCACACATTGCTTTGTTTGATTGAGAGTTCGTTCACTTGTCTCAATGGCATTTACTACAACTCAATATTTTAATTAAAATCAACAATATTCTATTCACATCTAGTTTTCTTCCGCTCGTATAATGAATATTTAAACACTTCTGCAGAGTCTCTTGAGAAATATAACGACTGTTATGCATTGTATATTAATCATCCGAATTATGCCTTTTCAAATGTTGACAAAGAAATGATTTCATAGGTTTTCAACCACTTCGTTTTGCTAAAGAATTTTTTTAATCTTACTGAAAGGTCTACTCATGCCAACAGAAAAAAGTGCATACACATTCAAATGTGATAATTATCTACTTCAATTTAACAATGAAAAATTTAATATAGTAAATTGTTAACGAATTTCTTCATTCATTCGACCAAAAAATGATGCATTTAATGTTTTTCTGTGAAACATTTTTCGTTGAGACTTAATCGCATAGCCTGCATGGTTGATTGTTAATTCTCAAGGTCTGTCATATATCATATCGATCATGAATTAAATCAATATGACATGTAATTTAATGAAAAAGATTCAGTCAAATTATTATAGGGTATGTTCTATTTGCCTAAGTAATCATTTTTCTCTTGTAAATCTTCCAATAACGTGATTTAATTGAAGAATGAGAGAACAAATTATCCTTATCAAGTCACATATGACTTCACTCTTAGTAGCAGATAGTTTGTTAACCGTACACTTAACGATGATTATTAGACTATGGAAAATCTGATTTAAATTTGTCGTTTCAGATACCGTTACTCTTTTTGGATATATTCTATAATGATTTCTTATCATTATATTATTTGTTTAGTTTTACTGATATATTTTTCAAGAGCTACTCATTCATCCATTCCGTTTATAATCAATCCTGGCTGTAATTTAATTCAATGTGAAACTTCTGGTTATCCGGCTTTATTTTATGCAAATCATTTTATTGCTAATGATACAATTCATATATTCTACTCGTCATTCGATGAATTAACAATTAGTCTTATTCAAACAAAAAAAGGCTATGAGCCATATATTAATTATACAGCATTATTTAGTAAACAATATTCAAATTCTATCGTATTTGAAGGCACAACACCGTTAAATTCATTCTCATTAATTATTCGACGATTAATTAAATTTAATGATAGAGACGATACAGGTCGGTTAAATGATGACGATATTACAACAGAATCCTATTGTTTAAATGGATTAAAAACTAATACAACTCGTCAAGATAATAATACAAATCAGCCATCATTTCATTTACCATTAGATAACGTAGGTATTGATAGTTTGGGTTTTAATTTTAAGAAGAATTTTTTTTTCATTTTTTTTAAGATTAATGGTGTTCTAAATGTAGATATAAATTATCCCGGTGAATCAATGAGGGATTTAAAGTTTCCAAAATTACTTTCAACACCAAAAAGCTATTTTCTTAATATAGCGTTGAAAGCAGATAATTATACATTACCAAACACACGATTTGCTTTGGAATTTTATATCATACAATTGGGTATCGAAGGAACTCACTTTTCTTCCTCGAAATATATCGATGATCAATATACACCAGGTATATAGAGAATTTCATTTCAATAGGTATCAATCTTTTATGAATGTTTTGAAATTACAAATGACACTGCTGTCCATCAAATGTCAATCTTCAAAATGATTCTGAAAAATCTCTTTTGTAATTATTTACTTGATAGAAAATGTGCTCGCTCGCCATAGAAAAGAAGGTCATTCGTACAATGGGAAAAACAGTACTTTTACGTCACTAGGAATAGTCCATTAGTTGCCTAATGGCATAAACTGCAATTAACAACATTTTACTTTAATTATATTACATGATTAATTCTCTTTATGAGTAGCATAGCCAAATGGCGTAGATTTTTTTAGAAAACTTTGAGCCTCTCTAGAAGCGTAATCTAATGAGTATGCATCACCACTGCATATACGACTAGAGGGTTTCACTTCCTGTATAAATTTTTATCTTATGACGTCGCAACTCGGTAGTTGTACATTTCAAATTGAATTTCTTTCATTTTCAAAGGTATTTTCAATGTATGGCAAATACAATCGTTGAGTTCGATTTATCCATCGTCGATGCTGTGGAAACCTGTTGTATATCAAGGTGTTGATCGAAAAGTAGAAAAAACTACTTTGATGGAAATTTATGGTTTAAAAAACAATGTAACACTTACACCCTCTATTGATCAAGGAATCTTTAATAGTCTCTATTCTAAACCGTATGTATCGGCTTTCAATATTTCATTGGGTCAACCAAAAGATGGTATGTTGATGTTCGCAGAAATTTTAGTTAATCATTTGATATTATAGGTTTTTTCGCTAAATCAAATTATACATTTATTCAATTGACGGCCGGTTTAGAAATACTTGAAGTAGATTCAATAAAGAAATTTGTTACTATTGCACTTATCGTTAGTCTTGCTTTGCCAGTCACAGTTGCATTGATTGCAACAATATGTATTATAAAACGTCAATGTTCAAAACAAAATATTAGCAGTTATGATGTTATTGAAGATTAAAGAATGTGCCTTTTTATACAAAAACAAAACAAGAAACACTAATAACTTATATTTCTACTCATTTTTCTCAACTTTCTACGTCAATTGTATTGTCACTCATATGTTTAAGCTTTGTTATTAGTTTCTTTTTTGCTTCAGTCTAGTCGGCAAAAGCCTCTATTTATATGATTCTAAGAATAAAGATAAGGTCTGTTCACACTTCTAAATCTCCACTAAATCTATGCTATTTTTAAACATATTGTCTACAGGAATTATTTGACACAACAAGATCTTATGTGAAAATATAGTTGTAAACTTCTAAATAATGACCTTCATTAGAGAACATCTGAAATTTGGCTAGATTAAAGAATTTAAAACAACCCGCTAAAATTATAATTCGGTAGTGAAGAATTTCTGATGCACGATACAAAAGTAGTTCCTTTTCAAACATGATTTTTTTCATGGTTAACACAAATAGCCAAATTTAAGAAGATTAAACATCTAAATAAACCTTTATAATTGTACCGAGAGATCATGTCAAATCGATTAGTACAAGGATACCGGAATAGATCTAATTGACATTAGCAGTGCTTTTCAAACCAAAATTATCAAAACCAACGAAACATATTTTTCCTACGAGAATTCTTTTTTCGTGACTAATTCATTCTTTTTGATACGGTCAAAATCGATCAGAATCAAACAGTTTCCATAAAAACCAATTGGCATATACATCAAAAGTAGGTCCTTGGAGTATTAATTACATGTAGCCTTTATTTTCTTATGCATGTATATATACGTATATATATGTTTGATGAATACGTTATTCTATTCATAAAAGCATATGAAAGATAAATTTAGTGTAATATTAATTGAAGAAATTCTAATTTTTATTATTAAGAAATACAAATACAACATAACTCTTTGGGCAATAAAAGTCTATTAGAAGAAAATTTTTTTAATTTTTTTATTCTCTCATTTTTTTAGAATAAAAGTGAACCAAAATTGATTTTTCTCTATTTCTCATGATCATAGACATTAATGTAACATACTCTCCTGCAGAGTTATTTATACACCGAACATATTTGTCCATTCAAGTGAGCAGAATAAAAGCAATATGAAAAAGAATTTCTGATTGACATAGTTTTTCTCGAGAAAAAAAGAAAACTATTTAAATGACAAACGTTGTACTACGTGCATAGCTTGTTATTGGTCGAATACGGCATGATACTTGTGGCTGTTGTGTCCATAAATATCGATGAAATAGATCTTGTTTTATTCGATCAAGATCATTATTTTTTTCATCGGTTTTATTTTTTCTTTGTTGATTACTTGAACGTTGTCTAGATGATGCTTCCGTTGGATATCGTGTTGTACGCGGAAGATTAAATACATGAGCAAAATACTCCGGACCTAGCATTACTAAATCGGAAAGACGATAACCTTTTTGACGATCACGATATGACATTTTATTTTGAGTTGATGAACTTTGCCGATTGGAATTTGAAACTGTTTGAGATAGGCTATCAACATTCGATTGGCGGGCTAATCTTTCCTCTGGAGATGCATGTGCAAAGTCGGAGTCTGTTTCATTTGTTACTTGAGTTTGTGTTTGTTCAATTATTGTTTGAATATCGGTTGATTCTTCAGTTATATTTTCTACGAGAGAGAATTTCGGTTGATTGAATTGATGGCGCATACGCGATGTAGGTGCCGATGTTAAAGTTGTAATTGGTAATGAAAAATTACCACTTTGACTAGTACGTACACTGCTGATTGGTGGTAAACTACATGGATTTATCGAACTTCGTCGACGTTGAAATCTTGATGATGGAAGTATATTAGAAGTTGGCTCTTTTAAGGACAATGACGAAACTTGTCTACTACGAGCTGGTAGTTGTACTGTTTGCCCTGGTTTTTGTACATAAATTGAATTCTCACCTGTGAATTCTAATACACACTCTTCAACACAATCTTCTAATGTTGATTTGAATATGTCAGAGCATTTACCATTGACAACAAGTACTTTGACTGGTGTTTGCTGTTTAGTTGTTTTATTGTCATTTATATCTAGTATTGATAATTGACGTCCCAGAACACTATTACGTCGTAGTCGCGCATTATTAGATGCCATATGAGAACTAATCGAACTAGCACGACGTGATGATGCACTTGATTTAGTGTCGGACAAAACTGAAGACAAAGAAATATATATATATATACCCGCATAATATTTCTATCGAGAGTTGGTCCACTTCAATTTAATTGAAAAAAGAAAATGCTGAAGAAATAAAAAAAAACTTTCCAACGATTGGTCAAGTCAAGATAAATTTCAAGATTTTTTCTGTTAAATGAGTTGTTTTTCTTCCTACTCTTATTTCTTAAATTTAGTGAAAAAAAAAGAAGAAGAAGAAATACTTCGCCCTTGACTACATGCATCCATCTACGCTACACATTTATATTTTAGTAGAATACTTCATGCTGACAGATGAAGAAAGTCGAAGTCTTTTCTATTCTTAAAATTATACACTGCTTTTCAATTGGTATCTTCTATTTTGACTAATTTCATGTAGTTTCTTTGACTATTATATCGGTATCCATATTGCTCTCTTCTTCTTCTTCTTCTTACGTTGACATGACTCTATCAAAAAAAAAGGAAAAATGTCAAAGAATATCGTGATTACTTCACAGAAGTAATCATATATCATTATGTACAAAAGAAATAGTCAATCAAATATTTTACCTTCATCGTCAATCATATCTTGACTCATCGTTTTTGTATTTGCCTTTGTATTCGTTGCTGTTATAACTGTGATCGAATACTGTTTGAAACATAAAGAGAATATTTTAAAATCTGCACGTCATATCGATATGGATGAATTTAGGAAGCATATGTATTAGTTGAAAATCGAAGCCAAACTAAAGCATACACATTGTACGTATGTACATATAAATTCTATTCATATATGCATGAAAAAGTGACACAGAAATTTTTCTTTTCTAATATTTTTATTGTGATAGATCTGTTTGTTTGAGAACCGATGCAAGTGCCGGAATTTGTTTAAATTAATAGTTTATAAGTATGCTCGCCGAAGGATCTCATAAAGTATGTCAATAAATATACTTATTCTATTCAGAGTATTTTAAGTCAATATAGTCGTACGTAACGGTTAATTCGGTTATATAATGCTTCAAAGAATTCTCTATTACTCTTTCTTGGTACCCCACATTGATAAATTAAGCCTACACAGAATTTTATTTATTCTGCACCAGACAACGAAAAATTTTATTCTCAAAAATTTTATTATCCAATTCTCTCGATCATATTTTCGTTTTATTTCTAATAAAAAAAAAAGGAACAAGATACAACTTTACACAAGAAACAAAACAAAATTATCTCCTTTTTCTACATAAAAAAAAGAAAGAAGCTCCTTCATCTCTAGATATAATCATTATTTTGTTAATATTCTTTTCACTTCATGAAGAACAAAACGCAAACTTATTCGTTAATCAATCAATAAAACAGAATCTTGTGAATGATGTTTTCATTCAAAGTGAAAATAAACAAAAATAAAATAAAATAAAAACAATAAATGATAATGATTTATATGCAACAATATTTATTTTCTTTTACTGTTGTTTCAGTTGACGTTGGATTCTCTTTCCATGTTGATAAATAATGCATTGTAAAGAAATCGTTTTGTATCCAAAAAAATTTATTTACTGCCATGACAATTGCTTGTCGTGTTTTATCATCGAAATTATCTGCATTCCATAAAATATCAATTAATAAATGTTCTAAATAGCCAAGTAATGCGTTTATATGTGTGTAGTCAACATTAATTGATGCGGCGCCAGCTTTATGTGTATGCATTTTTCCCACTTGAGATAAATATTGAAGAAATGTGTCATTCCAATCGCGCTGCGTCAAAACACGTTTTAAATACATACTTAACATATCTTTACGAAATGACATTTGCGCTGATTCCAATGTTATAGTACTTTGTTTCTTAGGTAAAAAACCTTCGAAGCCTTCATTATTCATTAGAAAATAATTTTTAGTTATGTCGAATGAAAATAATTTTCTATAAACAGTATCGGCAATAACCGGAATACGTGGAAAAAGTATTGGGGCAAATGTATTAAGCATCGTGATATCATTCGAAGTAAAATTTAAAAATTTCGATAAATACTCGAAACGATAACGAAGATCAGTATCAAGTCGATTTTTGTCGATGTGTTCGGCCATTCTGAAACTGTAAAACAAAGCAAAAAACAGTTCTAACTAATATTTTCTTTGTTGTATTTTTCTTAAAACCAAAATATCTTCTTTACATTTTGTTTTTCGCTATTAGAACCCCAGAGAGAAAGAAAAAGAAAAAACGATAGAAACAATAAGTGCAAAGCGTTCTATCCGCTTTCACTGAACGTGAAAAGTATAGAAAGAAGAAAAAAAAGAGAGCATACATGAAATACTTTTATATATCAGAATTTCCGCCTGAACAATGACTATTGCGTTATTCAACCGATAAATTATGTAGGTCTATTTTAGAGCTATAAAAATATCTGACTTTAATATAGAAAAAGTCAACGTTAATAGAATCTAATAAAAGTTCAAGAAGAAAGAAAGCATGAAATTTAATAAGACTTTTATTTTAATTCAATGCGACAAAACAATTCTTTTCTTTTCTAGGAGATTAGAAATTTTTTCCTCATGGTTGAATATGAAATTTAATATTATTTTCTCATTTTCTTATATTTACCACACCATTTGTTACTTTTTTCTGGCATAAAAAATGTATTAGAAACATGTGAGTGTCCTCTAATTCAAACTTCCTAGCTTTTGTGACATTATAAAATGATATTGAGTGCTAGAAAAAAAGTATCACTAGCTCAGATGAAATCCAAAAATAGATTGCTTTCTAACATTGTCATGCATAATAATAACCGGGACTCATTTATTTCTATTTCAAATCTTCACTTTTCTTTTGTTAATCCTCTACCAAGTTTCTATGCTTGTTGGAAAACTATCAACACGTCAGTTCCTGTCAAGAAATGTTTATAATTTCCTTACTCTTCTTCCATGAGAATCTACAATATAGCTGTTTGTTATCACGTTTAATGCTCAAAAAAGCATATTTCTTAACGCTCGTATTTCTATATATAAATAATGGTTTCTCGTGCTACTATCAGACTATGACAACTTTTCTTCAAACTAAACTATTATTGATCAAATATTTATTTATCTTCTTTTTTATTGTTTTTATAGTACTACAAGGAAAAAGACCATTTTTCTGCCATGAATACGAAAGGAAAACAAAATAATAGCTGTTGATTTCTTTTAATTAAATGAATTGATATAATCTCTATGTTTTATGTAGAAATATTGATTTGAAAAGCAAACTCTCTATTTAGTCGACAGCAAAACGTCAAGCAAAAATCGGATTCGAAGGATATCACGTGTTACCAGATGAAAAATTTTCAGTTCAATTTTTTTTCTTAATAAATAGCAAAAAGATAATGGAACGAATCCACTCATTCATACTTACTCTTGCTAGATACTCCTATGTAATCCGAAATAAAGCAAAAATCAACATGTCTAGCACGCCGCCATCGATGGCTGATAATGTCAGTAGTATTCTATCGTCTATTAATTTTTATAATATCATCCAATCGGTCGTATATACAAATGTCGATAGGAGAAGTAGACAAGAAAAAAGGGTACGAGAATAATGTAGAATAAAAAAACACGATTGTGATTTCTTATAGACACAATCGATCAAGTCAAAACCATTAAATTTCCAGTCAGCGAAACAAATTTAGGCAATAAGATAAGCTAGATTTCTTGATTTTGTTTTTCTTCTTCTTCTTTCAGATCTACATCTAGCCACTAGAATTCTTTATAGACAAACAGGATCTCGAGAGATGGATAGAAATGTTTCGTCAACTATGATTGAATATAAATATTTTATCTCAATAAAAAAAGAAGAAGCAAATGATACGATTGAAAAATCGATGCTTTAAATAATTATTATTTGCCGACGAAACGAACTAGTCAATAATTAATGTTTCATAATAGACTAAAAATCAGATTCTATTGAAAGAAGTTTTTTCAGTGTATTTCCTTGATATCAATTATATCCGACGTTTTTTATTTTAGTTTTCGGTGAAAAAAGAAACTAGACAATGATCTTATTGCAAGAAAAAAAGTTCTTTTTCGAATTGAACTATAAATGTGCCGTGTACACGATTTACTGTCCCCGGATTTGCTGTCCATTGATTGGAAAAATATGATTCCAATTAGCACTATTTTTATATGAGAATTTACTGTCCACTAATTGCTTCGAAGATAAATTAATAAATGAGTAATAGTCTTGACAGCCAATTCCTTTTCTGAACAAAAAGTTACATAAATGTTGAAAAACAAAAAGTCGCCAATGAGCGAACTATTGAATACATTTTCAATTTAAAATGACGGATGCTCATTAAATTGAGGGGTAAGATAGTCATTAATGTGACAATCAATTATAAAAAATATATATAAGTTCAAAGAACATAATTTTCTTATCATACTCTTTCTAAAAATGTCCGCTATATTTACTGAATCTACTCATGGTAAACGACAATTCTGCTACCTCGATTATCGATATTCCATCATTCCTAAAAGCTGCTGGACTTAGATATTTTCAGCGTCCACCTAAAAGTTGAACGTCCATTCACCTTTTTTGGTTTATTCATCAATCAATTCCTTATTCTCTTTGTTATTTCCTCATATATTTGCTTGAATTCTTTTTTTCTAAATATACATAATTGATTGCGATAAATATTTTCCTGTTCATTTGTATTCTTCGAGGCAATCAACGGACAGTAAATCCTCGAACGAGAAAAATGCTAATTCGAAAAAAAAAGTTATTCAATCAATGGACAGTAAATCCTCAGCAGCAAAATTTATACTTTCTGTAGAAAAAAAACAATTTTCTAAGAAAAACGATCAATAAACAGTAAATCCGTGGACAGTAAATCCTGTAAAGCAAATGTGCTTAAGATAATTATTATGATGATTAGCTTTGTTATTTAAAACGGAAGACAAATAATATTAACAATAAATACTGAAAGCAAGTTTAATGTCGTATATTTCATCTTGTTGGGAATGATGAATTCTCTACTTAAGTTGATTTTAAGGCAAATTACATCCTACATGATCTAAAATCGGTGTATTCTCGTTTTCTCGAAAGCTTAATTGATTTTCTTGTTTCGTCGAAAAACTGAAATTGTAATAATATGAGCTAAACTCAAAGGGGTCATATTAATTGTTCTGATTGTCTTAAAATGTTCTTTTTCTAAATAAATTGATTGAAACGCTCAAGTTATTACAGCAAAAGAAAAAATATATATATACATATAAGGAGATGTTTAATCTTTCTGTTTATGCTATATTTAATTTAAATAAAGAATAATGACAACTATTGTTGAAAGTAAGCGTAAAAAATCTACATTACTTCTCGATGATTTCCGTTATACCCGAGATAAAATTATCTTCACCTGATCAAGCAGTACTTTTGATTAGTAGGGAAAGCATCTTATCAATTAATATATTCTATTTTTCATCAATTAATTAGGATTCATTTTTTCGACGGAACAAGAAAATCAATTAGACTTTCGACGAAACGAGGCCTAATCTCTAAAATCACAGCATTATCTTATTAACTTTCTTATAAACCACCCTATAATTGAAACAAATAAAAGTAATAATTCGTTTTTACATTTTAAAGAAGTTAAACTCGTTATTGCGCTTTACTTCTTTTAGATTTTACTACTTTATCTTACTATATTTAGATGAAAATATAAACGAGCTGTCCGTCAAAATTATCGTACATGAAAATAATGAATATTATATAAACAAACTCAATTGAATAGGACATTTACAGCATATAAACAACTTACAAACATCATGTTAGTTTAACGTAATCATTTAAACACGAAATCTTCCAATGGAAAGAATTCAGACATGCCTATTTGTTACTCGACATAAAAATATATATATTTCTGTTGACAACTGTATGACGTTCCAAAATCAGAATTGTCACAATATAAAGAAAAAGCCAGATATTCATTTGGCTAATATAAAATGTAATAGACACGCGACTATTTTCTTACGATAGAACTTTTTTCTCTCGACTCTTTAATCCTTATTTAGTATCAATTTACTTCATACATGTAGATCCTCCTCACGAGTGTATGTCGGTCATAAATGCGCATTTTTTAATTTTTTCCTTTGACGTATTTCTCTCTCGTGGGTAATCTTGTGGGTGTGTAGCCGTTTTACTTCGTCACACATAAGGGTTGGATTTCTGAATATATGAAAATATATATTTGGAAGAAAAAGGGCACCGAAGATTATGACAGTTATATATCAAGATATTCTTTTATTATTGAATCTGAAGTTATAAATTGTTACAAAAAATGATACTAAACCGTGCCAACAGAACACGCCATTATTTATGATAAAAATAAACAAATACTTCACATGAAAACAAACGGTGTATCCTTCATGTATCGATATTTTCTTAATATAATGCGTTTATTTGAGCAAACAGATATGTTTATGGTGCTCAAGAAGTCAGAAGGGCTTTTGAAGCATCTCCGGGACTACGTTTCACATGAAAGAAGGCACTTCTCGTCGGGATAGATCTGAAAATCTCACGGAAAATGTAATAAATACAAGACGTGATATTATTCAATGCTATTAATACCAAATAGTAATTAACTCATATTTGAAAAGCAGGAAATAAACTGATCGCTATAAGCAAAAAGAAAATATTTAAGGAACTGTTCAATATAAATATAGATGTTCATGAAAGAAATCCGTTATCTCTTTATGGATTCCCATGTGACACAAATTAATTATTAATATTGTAAAACTATGCAAATAAATAAAACCGAACAAATTATTATAGAAAAATCTTCTATTTCGATAATAGTTATAGTGCATGAGTTGGAGAAAATTATAGGCAGCTGCTTGAGGTTGTAATGAATACTATCGAGTCTGGTAAGATATCAAATCTTTGCTATGATAGTCCTTCTGATATTACATCGTATATCTAATTCCATAAGGAATGATACAGCACAACTAATTAATCGAATTATAATCTCATATGATTAGAAACTGTCATCATTAGCTTTCAATTTGAGTTTTTGACAAAATCTGTTTCTATGCAAAACCAAAAGAAAAAGATTCTTAGCAAAACT